AAAGGTTAAGCACAGGTTCATTAGCGGTGCTTTTGGTTAAGCTAGGAGTGAGGATTCTGGGAGAAGGAGACAAGGCACAGGCTCTCTGCGCAGCTGCTGGCTCCACTGCAGAGCCTGTCAGCTGCACCCACATTCAGCTCCCAGGCATTGGCATCCCAAAGCTGCTCATGCTGCCCTGTGTTACTGGGACAGAAGCAATGTAAAATGCCCCCAAACCTGCACCCACTGGGACCTGGTGGAGTATTTGAGAGAAGCATCATCACCTAGCTGCTCTCTTCTGATATCCTTCCCCAGGCCACGGCTTGCACCCACTGCCGGAGCAGGAACGCTGGCAGAGCGCTCCTGGGACACCCCTCTGCTGACAAACCCAGCAGCCTGGGGTACACCACAGCGATTACTAGAACTCTGCGGCTAAAACCCTCATTTTTTTCAAGCTTGATCGATTTTGAACATTTAGATAATCCAATTTTCCCTTTCAAGTCATTAAATCAAACCCAAGTTTTGGCCGTCAAACAGGGGCTCCTCTGTGAGCTGTCGGACGACTCACGGTAGCAACTGCAGCAGCAAGCTGGCGTGTCAGCAAGCACCACGGAAACACGGGTACAATCACTAAACATAAACCAGAGAAAGACATCCACGCTGGGCTGAAACCTGGCAAAATACAGGCACTAACATTTTCAGAATTCTATGACAAAGGGAGAAAAACAGTAAGTGAAAAATCCCTGAAGGATTTTTTCCACCAATGAGGTCTGGATGGAGCACTAGAACTCCAGTCAGAAACATCTCGCCATCTTCAGAGACCTCCCCAGTCTAAGAGCCACCAGTGACTTGTATTTCATAACGAGAAGACAGAGGAAGAGTTTGGGCCCTGAAAAAGGAAGAAAGACCCACACTGGGTTAAATTACGTTTAGAGGCCTTTTAAGAGCAGACCAGCGCATACCCAAGGTACCCAATACAGAAGCTCAAGTAAAGAACAATGTTTCTATAATTGTCAAAGTTTTGTGATTCTAAACGTTTAAGTTACAGTCACAGAAAACAGCCATTTAAGTAATAAAAGGCCAGTACCACATAATTCCTTTTGGGATGTACCAGTCTGCTCACAAACATGCATGGCGTTTTTCCATGGCATCTCCAGAACGCAGGACACATTCCTAGGAGCAGCAGTCCGGAGAACAGGCTGCCGTACCGTCGGCTGGGATTTAACTTACTTTCGTTTCTTAATCGCTTGGCAAAGAGAACACTTTACCAGAGAACAGAAGTTTATCTTTGAAGAGCAAATAAAACTGGGCAAACATTTAATAAAAACATCTTTCTAATGAGCTTACAGCTTTGATCCAGTCTTTCTAACCTTCGCAATGACGGAAATTCTCTTCACCTTCTCCAGAAGTCAAAGCAGAGCAGTTCCTGCAGGATTACAAGCAATGAGTTCACACTCTCTGGGTTTCACTACTTTGAATTAGAATAGTGAGAGCAGCAGTCAGCGGCAACAACTCCGAATACCTCTATGCCTGGAATGGCTATATAAATATATTCCATCAATTTCCCACCAGCACCAAATAAGGATGTCCTTTAACAGCCTGCTTCAAACTTAAACCCTTTGATGAGGCTCAGTGAGTTAGCACACCATCACAACCAAACACTTCTGTTGATGTACAGAGCATATACACTGAAATAATAAAGCTCAAACAAAGCCCTACCAGCTTCCTAAACTAAAGCAGGCTGTTCTCACGCCTAGAGGAGAACAACTACAAAACCTCAGGAGGCGGCGACTGCGAGGATTTGTTTAGTTTAATGGCAAAGAATCAGGATCAAAATAAGAATGCACCCCACATCCCTAGTCACACCATTTGGGGAAATACTTAAACAGCGAAACAAGTCAAGAAAGTCACAGTGAGGCCTAAATCCTATCTGTTAAAAAAAAAAAAAAAAAAGAGAGAGAGAGGGGAAAAAAATACTCACAAGGAAAAGGCAGCAACAGCCCCAAAACCATTAAAAACTCTGGCCCAGAAAAACATCAGTAAATTCAGGAATGGAAACGATGTTCTAAGGGAGCAGTCCAGGACCCAAGATTTCCTAGAAGAGCCGAGCACATGCAGGACAGATCCGATACACAACGCAGACCGTGTCAGAGAACTGTCTCCTGCACGGTTAACACTCTCCCTCCCCGCCAGTACCACAGCACTGTGCTGATTCGTGGCAGGGCTGCAAAGGGCTCGAGCCCGATGTGAACACTGGGTCAGGGTGTGCCGGCGGTGCTGGAGCCCTGGCAGACACACCACAGTGAGAACACAGCAAGGACCTACAGACGGGAGGTATCGCAGACACAGCCCGAGGCAGCCCGGCACTTCTGGGCGGCTGCTCCTAGAGGCAGAATTGCGAAGTCCTGCTGCAACATGCAAGCAGCGCGTACCAGGGAGACACAATCCTTGGTATGAAGCGTAGGCACGTTTGTTTGTATTTGCCATTTGTACTGCTCAGCAATACCTCTCGGCTCCATTCAGAACCACACAGGAGCAGAGACGTGCAACCCCCTTCCCGGCTCAGGGGCTTCTCTTTCTCCACAAGCCGAGCTGTGGCCATATTCTGCAATGCAGGACGCTGGAAGCGGGTTTTATGGGAAACCATGTTTTTCAGGCAGCTCATGACGTGCTTTGAAACTGCATATTGCAAATTTTAGCATAAGGTCCCTCCATTCCATAAAACCGAAAAAAAAAAATGAAGTGCACTTAAAAGAAAGCGCTGCTTTCTGAGGTCTGAGTTTGTCCTCCATGCGGCTAGCTAATTGCCTTGCTGCATAACTGGCTTTCATTAAGATTGAGAGTACTTGGATGCTATTTGCTTTTTTTAGACAAAATAACGAGATCTTTACTGTAAGCAGGAGTTTCAGGATGATACAGACAACACTGGCGCTGTGCCACACGAATGCTTTTGCTAATCAACATTCACCTTCGGTATGCAGTGTTCCGCATCCACACGGCCAAGTGAATCGGATCCTCAGTCCTTGAAACAAACAAAATCAGAACTGAACACCACTGAACGAATCTGACAGAAGTGTTTCATTCCAAAGAAGCCTTGCTTGAACGTTATGAAAGTGACTGTAATTGACATGACAGGAATTCATTCTGAGGACTGCTGCAAGGCTTGGTTCACCTTGTAGAGTTACGCAGCACGGACTTAACTTCATTTTAGCTCAGATTTGCACCGGACACTTGCATTCCTGTGCTGGGTCAAGCAGTAACGTGCTGTAAGTCATCACAGCAACTGCATGTACTGAAAAACACCCAGTGAGGCACTAATGAGAATTTAGAAAGCAAATGGGAAGAGCAGCCGGTCAGCCTGTTAGCCTGTTTTGCTACACTGCACCTTGAGCCAGGTGGATGAAAGCAAGAGACCATGGAAGTCAGGGAAAAAAAAGCACCAGAGGCTCGACAGGAATTTGAAAGAACACATAGTGAAGCAAGAGGTTCGACAGCAATCTGTTTATATGGTTGTGTAAAAATCTCTATTTAAAACTTTAAATATACCACCCTAATATAGCAGGTTCATTAGGTTTTCCTTAGCTTTTGCTGCTTGCCACTTAACCTATGTAACTTATAAAACATACTCATTAAAACAGGTTAGAATGTCACAATGACAGCATATTGACAAGAAATGAACAACATGAAGGGTGGTGGGAGAAAATACCAAACCTGAAAAGCTTCCAAGGAATCACAGCTTGAATGATCTATTTCCTTACAGAGCTACAGTCCATTTTCCTACCTGACATTTGTTCAGTCTTGCTCTTTTAAATCTGACAAGGCTTCTTTCTTTTGCAGCATCATTCACCACACTTCACCAGAGATGGAATTCCTGCTCCCGGTACAGTTCCGTGCTCTGAACACACAGCGTGTCTCCTTGCCCTCCTCTTCGCTGAGGACAACTTTAAGCTGTCCCACAGAGGAGTCAGCAGCAGAGGCCCCTTCAGAGCCTTTCTCCAGCTGCTGGAGACGGCCCTCCTCATCTACCGGCCTTCGCAAGGTTTAAAAGCTCGCTCAGGATCGGCGCAGGCTACCACACACAGCAGCAACGAAACCTGGCTTCGTTTGGAACATATCCTTCCCACAATAAACCCTGGGAGGGTGCAAACACTGTTCACAACAAAAATCAGCATTCAGTGCACAAGCAAACAGCTACACGTTCACCTCTGCAAGCACCTCAATGCTTTTGATTGCCAAGCAAAAGAGGAGTTGCACCCTGGTTCACTTCTGTAAAATGCATAAAAACATTATACATTAATACTGGATTGTTTTTATTTGCTTTTATTTTTTATATTATTTCATTTGCAGTACCGCCATCATAACAAATGCCTACAAGCACCTACAAAGTGAAGAAATTATACCTTTGCGTTGTGCAAAGAAACAGAGCTGTTGCCTGGAGCCCTGCATCGCACAGCAGAGCCAGAGGAACCACAATGAGTTTCTCGTCCCACTCTGAGCCAGCCTTCCCTTGTCCCCCACCCAGCGGCACGGCTGGCTCACAGCTGGAAATGCTGATGGGCAGTTAGTCACTCCGGGCGGTGTTAATCAGCAGCTCTGTTTTACAGACCCATTTTATGACACTCTGCCCTGCTGCTCCTGCTCAGGACCTTCGTGCCCTGCCCAGGGGGAAGAGCAGGAGACCTGCCTCCGCTGCCTGGTTCCCAAAACCATCGCCTGCTGCTTGCAGGCATGTAAAACACTGATGGCTTTGTTTCCTGGCTGAAAAACTAAACCTTCAACTCTTGTTCCCCGCCTAAACCACTGAAATGAACATCCCACAACCCCAGAACTCATCTGAGAGGGAAGCAGCAGCCACAAAGGCACGCCAAAAGGGATGTGCAACAACAGTCTGAGCAGTGGAAGCAACACAGCAATAAATTGCATATTAACCCACTGAACTAAATCATATTTCAAGGAAATGTGTAGTGCCGGGCAGTCCAGAAAGCCTCAAGTGAGATTGCACTTCATCCTTCTGAGATGCATTATCAAAGAGGGTTTGCAAATCCATACGGGCACAGCTTTAACACCTTATTAAAGGTGCCTGGGAGCAATAAATATTAAAAAACACCAACATCTAAAAACCCCCGCAGCTCTCAGCAGGATTCTAAGTCATAATTTTTCAGGTGCAATCAACGATCAGAAAAATTCCCCTCAACTGGCTCTTAAATACAGTGTGCTCTTCCTATTTCTGTACATACATGCACAACCCCCGCATGCACTGTGCTATATACACACAACGTATACACTATAGCGTGTTCCTCGTGTCACCTTTCACAAACACCGACACGGATGGATGGAGGGCACAGGGAAGGACTCAGCATCACTGACTGCAAACCAAAGCAGAAATTCCAAATGCACATTCTCCTCTCTACGTACATATATATATATTCTCTTCTTCCCACTAGATTAAAATGACACCCCATCCACTCCACATTTTCTGTTGTCAGCAGTTATATTTCAGATACCCATAAGGCTTTCACACCATTTGCCATTTTCTAGAACTTTCCCTCGATTCCTCTAGTCCCATCTATTTAATTAACTTCATTTGAGTCACCTGGCACACCAACATGGAAATGCTCCCCCGGATATCACCCCCCTACTTTCAGTTCTACACAAACGGATTCCCGGGATTTTTTCCACTTGCCTGCCATGCACTCACAGAGAGTACACCGACTTCAAAAGACAACCTTCCCCTTGAAGTTCTGCAGACTCAGGTGCTGGAGGACAAAAAGCCTCCACAGTGATTGTACTCTGTAATTGTAACAGCAGCAGCGATGCCCAAAAATAACACAAATCAGAGAACTTTCACTGGAAGTACTCATGTGAGATACAAGACACCTTATCTCGTTCTTATAGAAACACCAGTTCCTGTTTCTGTGCCTGGCTGAAAATGGATTTTATTCCTGACACCCATTATTAAAGCCTGGGCTGACTCTGATCCGGTCCAGGCTGTGGAAGATCACACAGCAGCTGCAGTATCAAGTCCATAACTTCTAACCGAGATGAAACACTATTCAAAAAGAAATTCAGCGTTCAGATGTTGAACAACAGAATCCACCGTACCTTTCAGGAGGTTAACCTGGGGAATATTTATCCTTAAAAACACCTGCCTGGTTACAGGCTGTTCAGCACCAGCTTTGGCTCAGCTCATTTTGCTCTGCAGCCGACTGCCAGAATTAAAGCAACTCTACCTCTTCCTTCCAAGCACTTCCAGACTACAATCGAATTACCACAACTCCTCCCTGCCCCTGGATAAAGTAATCCTAAATATTACACCTTCCATTTCTGCAATCGCTACCCCAAAAGCAGAGTCTGGCTGTATGTTATGATCTCCAGGCTCCGTGCTAGCTCTCTCCCTTCACGTCACCAGCGCTGCTCAGCGCGACATCGCTGCAGCCCTGCTCACACCAGTCTCTAACGCTGAAGTGCTGTTCATCGTCCCAGACCACCCTTCTCAGCATACTGTCCCTTCAGTAAACATTTCTGAACTGATGACAAGAGCTTTGTGTCGCAGGGTTTTGACACTGCAAAGTATTTTGAGCATCAGCCCATTAGACATAAACACGCAGAGTTTATGTAAATGTTTAGAGAATTTGCTGTGTTTCGTGAGGGATAGTATTAACAGGATTAGTAAATAACTGCAGCTCTTTAGACTGCAAAAGCTGCTTTTCAAAAGATGTAGATTAGCTACTTTCATTACTATCACAGTGAAAGACTTTGCTTTGTGAGTCAATAAAACAAGAAATATCCAGAGTAGTTTCCAAATCAGACATTTCCATATCTTAAAATAAAGCCCCAAGTCATATTCCTACCAGCAACCCCTTTCCTCAACTAGCAGCCTGGGCTAGATTAGGATAGAAGATGGGTGGTTTACTTCGCTATCTAAAAATGCTATCTCCGAGAGTCAGGAAACTTACTTCCCAAGAGGAAAAAAAACCTTACAGTCAATAGTACCAAAGATTCTGGAAAAGATCTCTTGAGAGCGCCAAGCACACAATGAGAAGAGATGTAAAATTAGATTGTTTTAAGTTATTTTCTTATTTCCTTTTTTGCTTGAGTAAATGTTTTCGTTTTTAATACATTCTTAATTGCTACAAGGATTTCACATCCTTCTATTAAAATGCTTATTAGCACTACAAAGAAAAATCCGGGTTTATCAGCAACATTACTGTGGGAACATCAAAGGCTCAAACAACGCTGATCAGCAGTTACAGCCTGCCCTATCTGTAACCGACATCTCCTGCTATTTATTAACCCTCTACAACTCCAGAACAATGGAATGCTTTAATCAGGCAATATCTCAGCTAAGATTGGAGATGGGACATGAGTATGAGTTGTGCCTTCATGTTCGGTATTCAAGAGTGGCATTTCCTGCAACGCATTTTAGACTTCTGCAGTGCTAAGGCCACCTTGTTTTGTCAGGACAAAGATGCTAACCTCAACAGACATTTAATAAGATCATTCTTTAGTTTCCAATGTACTAAAGAATGTGTTTACACCTAACAGCGGGCAAGCAACCTGTCCTGTTGCCATCAGCAGGGTTATTCCTACTGACAACATTTTCAGGATTACATTTCTGCCTCTGACAGTTACATTCCTTACCAAAAGGATATTTTCCAAAACCAAAACCAACACAATTATCACAACATTTCTGCTAGCACATTAGAAATTTTAATTTAACATTGTCATTGTGAATTTCTTAATTTCACAGTCTCAAACTGACTTGAATTTATGGATTGTTCTGGGCTTTTTAAAACATTGCTGTACAGCATTTTGCTACCTATTTCTTACCTTTGTTTTGAAAAAAGTAAACAGCAATATGCCTATCATTTCTGTATTTTTATTTTACACACATATATATATGTTTTTATATGACAGGTGTCCTTCCAGCAAGGGAAAAAAAACCTGACCCAAGACTTCCACTAGTACTCAGCCCAGAAATCAGGGGCCAAGCAGGATGTTTTTACGGCATCTTTCATCTCTATGTCTGAAAGGGCCTTTGAATGACTCAGACATAAGACAGATGCTATGCTTGAAGAAATTCAAGCTAAACAAGCTAACAGAATTATTAAGTATCCACTCTAATTCTGAATCCAGCATCAGCACTTGTTTGGCTGATCTGGAAAAAACATTGCTCTGGAAAAGCACCACATTCACAGTCACAAGGCACTGAGAAGCTCCAGGATAAACACACATGACAAAGCAAGCATCCAAAATGAAATTTACCTCCAAACAATGTTGCCTAGCTGTCAGAGGATTAGGTTTGTCATGACAGTAAACAGCCTGCAATCGCCACAGCACAGTCTCCTTCCAGAGGGTTTTGTCCTCTCCAGCAGCTCCAGTCCCACCCAGCAACAGCTGCTCGCCATCACCAGCAGCGACGGCGCAGAGGAAGCCCTTAATGTGCCGCCAAGGGGCAGCGGAGCAGATGGCAGCGTGACATACAACCACAAGCATTAATTAAACTTCCACACAAGTTCCAGGATGCAGTGCTGAGTGAGTTTCCTTCAAGAAGAACATTTCAGACCAGGGGCGGCAGCCACAGCCCCACGCTCGCTCTAGGACGTGCGGCCGGTGCTGGGGTCCAGCCAGCGCAGCCTCATTTCAGTGTCCTGCCCTCCTGTTCGAGGGAGCTACTGCAGCAAGGGCGAGTCAGCGGCTTCCCCTGTCAGCCCAATTTACATTCCATCACAGACACTGCAGGTAAGGTTACAGAAGATTTGTTTAAACTGCATCCCCTCATCCAGGAGGGGTGGGGAAGGCAGACGAGGGGCACCCAGCCATACGGAAAAGAATAACAAAAACCCAACCAAGATAAAACCCAGGTAATTACGGCAAAGGGAGGGTGACTTTTTTGGAAATGGGGATTTCACCAAAAATAGAGTAAATCTGAAGGACCTTTGTTAGGTGAGCCTATTTTTCTTTAATAAGTATTGAATTCTGGGCCTTCCATGTCCACAGGCATTAAAATATCATTAAAACTGAACATCAGAACAGATTTGTCTTTTCCAGACTTGTTACACCACTTTCTTACCCCGTGTTACTCCCAGTGTAAAGCTAACACCCAGAACCATCTCCACTGAGAGAAACATATAGGTTTGGCATCAAGTGGGGGCATTTGGTAAGGCAACAGGCTTGCCGGCACCAGTGTCATCAGTACTCACTTCTAGCTTCTTCTCCTTCTCCATCAACACGTCCTTCTGATTCTGGGTGTACTCGATCAGCATGCGTGCCAGCTGGCGCCGGTCCTCCAGCTCCGCTGCCAGCCGGCCGTTGTACTCCGCTAGCAACAGGCACGCTTCGTCCACAGTCTTCGAAAGGCGTTCCGCTGCCTCTTTGTCTACAGGCACAAGGGTTGGGCAATTCAGGGGACAAAGTTTAAAACGTTCATCTGTCACAGAGGGGCTACCATTCACCAGGCACACGCACAGTAACATCTCACTCAAATACACCCCTGGCTTGATGGGAAAATAAGAGTTCTTGTGACAGGGGATCTAAAGGAAATAAGCAGGACTAACAGCGTGAGAACGGTGGCTTTTAGAGCTGACATGACTGACTGCATTTTATCCTCGCAGAGGTATCAGTGATGGGGCGGGGGCATAAATCTGTGAAGTTAGCCTCTGTAACTAAAACTTCAGGCTGTACTTTCAGAATTCAGTTAAACAAATCAGGTGGGTTTTACATTTAAACATGGTGTGCACTTTTAAATTCCTCTTTTCTCTGAATTTCCTGAAGCAAACACAGGAGTTGCACACTACTCTTCCCAGCTGGGCCCTGGGAGCGTGTATTATAAAGGACTGGATAAGTGGCAGTTCATAATGAGTTCTAAACTAAAACTACTTCCAGGAACAAGAGTCAAATCAGTTCAACCTTTAAATAATTCTATAAATATTACTTCTCAAATAAAATTGCAAAAGTCCATTTAAATAAAGACCGACAGACTAACGGGGGTAGCGAATTTCCTTTTCCGAAGCAATAAAAGAGGATGTGTGTTCTCAGCACAGTCTGATGAAACTCAAAAACATCCAACAGTCAAGGTGTTCAAAATCAAACACACCCATCGGAGAACTCTGGCCCTATTTCCTCCACATTCTTGCGAAATGCTGTTGATGCTCTCCAAGTACAAAAGCCTTGGTCCAAGCCAAAACAATGGAAGCAGCTATGCAAGCTTCTTCTTCAGTTTTACTTCACAGGATTGCTACCTATTAATGACCCAACAGCCACAGAACCAGGACACAAAAGCAGGAATTCACAATACAGCCTGATTATTTAAAGAAAAAAACCCCTTTCATTTCAAAGTTATTCTTTGGACCCATTTTCATTCATCTTCCAGTTTCCTACCTGTAATTTTCTCCAGTAATGAAACATCTTGAACTTCCTGAGGCAGGGAGGCAATTTTTTGCCGCACCGTTGCATCTCCTGATGCTGCGTTTTCCAGGTCTTGTAGGGCTTTGATCAAATCCTCGGTCTACAAGAGAAGTCAGCTAACATTAAAACCAGGTCACTTTGATGCCATTTCCTGCGGAGGTGGCCTCTGCATCTGAGGTCACCCACCTTTGAAAGCAACCATTTGGGGAATATTTTATTCAAGCAACTTTAAACTGTTGCTTCCCAACACTAAGAGCATTCACTAAGCCTACAATATCCCAGTGTCTGGAAAGTTATGCAGAATTACAGAAGAATCATCTTTTTCAAGACTCTGCAGCGGAAAATGTCTCATTCCAATTAAGAGAAGCGATCATTTAAGACAGAGCTGAGAGTACATGGCCACACCAGTCTGAGAAACAGCCATCAGCCCTTTGTGTTGCACCAAACTGGGACTCTGTCTTTTAGCTGAGCATCCCCGACACCTTCTCCTACACTAGCAGGAAAAATTCTATTCCAAAGATGCATTCTGACACAGGAGGAAAAAAAACCAAAACTAAACAAAACCAAACTTTCATCCGTCCAAACAAAACTGCGTCAGATTTCTGTCATTATAAGATTTAGAATTTTGTAACTGGTTACCTACCAAAACTTTGATAACAATGAAAGCTATCACTGTCAGAGCAAACTTTGTATCGGCCTGATTTTGCAAAGCCATTGCTCCCTCAGTTAGCTCAACGGGCTCTTTGGAAGCACACTGCAGTCTGCAATTAACTCTCAACCTCATCTCTCGGCTGGTTTCAGTGCCTCAAGGAAAAATGTGTTAGTTTAAATTAATAGACTCAAAACGTAACCTAGCTTAAAGGGGATGTGGATGAGGACAGCCTTAAGAGGACCTCCCCTGACACACCAGATTTCTTCCCTGCTCAAAAAAAATTAAAAATGGAAGAAGAGAGACTCCTCGAACAGGAAGAGAAAAGTCTTGTTTGTTTTTAAAAAAATATTAAGTTTCAATGGGAGGTTTGTGAAACTGGAACACTAGCCCTGCAAACACCACCACTGATGTCTCAACTACACTTCAATTGTTTGAAAACTAATAAAAATAATGAAAAATTTTAAATAATTTTTTATCTGAAAAATAAAGAACTCCATCACCCAAGATTTACTACCTCTTTGCAAACTGCTAATGATTTCCAACAGTAGCAAACACAATGCTTATCATCAAGAGAAACCATAAGCTGCAAGGCATCTGGAGGTAAAAACAACAAAAAAACTCACTTAGTTCCTTGACAACTGTTATTTATTTTTATTTTTCAATGTTTACAGCCTACCAGATGGATGGTGTATTTTTTTTACAATTTTCAAATAGGCAATGGTTTAACACATGTTCATTTTGTAGCCTTAAATGGTCAGAATGATCCTCTATTCCATTCCTACTATTTCCACACCACTAACATGTCAGCCCCAGAATAAAGTCTTCAGAACTGGTTTTGGTAACCAGCTCCACACTTTTTAATACTTTTAAAGCTCTTCATGAGCTTTTTAATAGCTCGTGGAGAGAGATGTTCTCCAAAAAAAATAATCAAGTTTTAACTGTGTTACAACTTTGGGTTTGAGAGATGGCACACTGGTCTTAGAAAGAATTTAAGATACGGTCTGTTCTTCTAGCAGCCCCTGAGGGTCTTTACTGGCAGCGCTACTCAAACCTTGGGTCACGCTCCCTGACATCACTCAGAAGTGGCACAGCAATTCCATATGCAGAAGGAATCTGTTCCATTTCACATGGACGACTCAACCCCCAACTGAGTGTCTCCATTAAAAGCATTTCACTTGTTGGCAGCTCCACCTCGTGGCTGTACCACTGGAGGTGGCTGCACAACTGCTCCCACTCCCAACCCATCCCACCTACCAGCAGCGGCCCAGCACTGGGGTCTTGGGGTGAGTAGCTCCCAGGGTAATCATCATCTTCCTCCTCTTGTATTTGCTGAAAAGTCCGCTTTAAAGACTTCTTCTCCTCTGCAACTGAAGACACATACAAGCAACTCATTTGGATGCCAGATCTGCCCACCTGAACGATCTCTGCTTCACCAGAACGGAACCGGGCGCTCTGATGATTCCACTCTCTGAAGGCCGGCTACAGCTGGACTCCAGTGCTGCTATCACATTCCAAACACTCCCACGTGAAGCAGCACGAAAAGGCTGATTTCGCCCACACCCCTATCTCTGTACACGCACCTACAAGGATCCAGTCTCCGTATCAGCAGTGTGCACCCAACACAGGCAGGGAGAGCACACGCCCCTCTGTCAATGAACCCTGCTCACGTTCGCCAGTTCGTACCACGGATGCAGGTGAGGATTTCTACCAGTGGAAATGAAGCACTGATGCCAGGATACACGTGGACAGAAGAATTTCAAGCTATCTTTCTGCACCAAGTCCATCTTCATTGTGGCCTCACAAGCAACTCAACACCTGCTGGTTATTCTGCCTTCCACCCTTCCCTAAGAACAAAGACTTCAGGATGTGACAGCAACAACAGCAATGGGCAGAGTGTGAACGGGTGTCCAAGCAGGCAACCTCTAACACTGCAGAAACAGGGATGCATAAAGAAGACAGGGTTGGTTAAACGAATCCTAGCTCAGCACACCAGAGCTTGGAAGGGAAGAGACAGCCCATGAGTGAGGCAGGCTTAACACAGCCTTTGATCCAGTGACAGCGCCTTCAGAAGACAGATCGCTCTTCAGACTTGCCACCAAAACTCCTAAGAGCCAGGGTAACTCGTAAGAAAGCTTTGGACAGAGTCTTGAGAACCTCTCTTCAATGGAAACAAGTCTTGCCGAGGTAATAATGGAGTTCAAGGGAAACATTCTGTATGCGCTTTGATTCACAGGAAAATCCAAGATCACTCTTGATTTAAAATGAAATCAGTCTGCCCAGCTCTAATGAGGAAGCAAAGAGAAAGGTCGATCCTTAAATGCAGAATTTTCCCTGCCTAGTCAGGAGGGACTATGTCTGAAAAAAACTTCATTTTAATGGAGAGAAAGTGCTGTACATTGTGCTTGTGTGGGGAAAACGCTGGAAGACCTTGGTGAGGTGGACACCAATGCATCTGTTAGAGAACAGATGTACTCAGCGGAAGGGAAAGCAGCTCAGAAGATAGTTACCCTAAGCCAAACGAATTCCTGATGTGTGTTAGAGCAAAGCTACCCCAGCTAGAAAAGGTCCAGCCTCAGTTTTGTGTGTGTACAGCTGATGCAGCAGAGTCCTGGAGGACAATCTGACTGACGAGATCCCAGATCAGCACGAGAACGGCTGCTGCCCAGAGCTCTGCAAAAGGCAGGAGCTGAGTTGAGCTGAGCAGGAGCTGTGCAGAGGACAGAATGGCCAAGGAGCGCACTGGAGGTCACACAGTCCAGTGCAACATGCTGTCAGCATTTATCCTTTGTGTGCACTTACCATAAAACAATTAACCAACAAAGGAGAAACACGACATAACTGATAGAAGAATGCATGCCTGTAGCGCGCACAGAAGTGAAAAGGAAACAGAACTGGGCTTCAAACTGCTGAAGAGCTGCTCCTGCTGTGCGGCCAACCGGTCCACCACAAGACACAGTGCTATTCTCGCTTGCCACTCTAACACAGAATTCAGAAGCCATTGAATTTTCATGCAACCAGTGCACCCTCCAATTTTTCTAACCCTTTGGTTTTTTTGGGAGTAAATTACTCAGGATTAAGTTCTCATTACAACATGCATTCGCTGGCAGCCTCTCCCAGGTCAAGCATAACTGGAGTCGACCTGCTCCAAAATTATCCCTGGTCCTGGCCCCAGGTGCCTTGATTTCAGCTGTGCTTGGCAGTGTCCCTGCCCGCTCTCCTCTCTAATGTCTTTCTCTGTATTTTAATGTGGGTCTTGCTTCCTGTGACAGAATTTGCGACAGCCAGAGCAGATGGGGAGCAGGTGAGTTTGCAACACTCCCAACAACAGAGCACATTAAAAGACTTCCTTCAGCTGGTTATTACAAAGACAATGAAAACATCAGCGATATGGGTTATATTACCTACAGGATTTTACATCAAACCTCTACAGCCCTAGCTCTCCAGGCTTTCAGATAAATGGGTGGTTCGTCTGTTCCCTATTGCTTGTAAAAATAAACTTTCTAATAAAAACAAGATTAATGAGAAAGCAAATGAAAGCTTAACAAATACATTTACAGTTAAAAAAATATGATTAAGATATCAATATTCAAAGGCTCATTTCCCTGTATATGCATACTTCCTTAAGGAACCTCACAGACTGAAATATGGTAGCAAGCTGCCCCACTGTGTGAGGCTAAACTAGGGAATACAACACCTAGAAAGATTTGTGCAATCAATTCTGTTCCACGGCAGGAGCTTAGCTCCTGCCGCCAAATGAACTGCTGTAACATTTACCAAAAGCCTGGCTACTAATGAAACAAAAAACAAGCCGCACCGTTGGAAGACACACCGAGAAGCTTTAAAGATGTCTTTCCTCACTGATACAGGACTGCACCTTTTTTTTTTTTTGGTCAAGTTTCACAACTGGAAGTGTAACTGGTGCTCTGCAGCCCAAGCAGAGCTGCCCTGCTCCGAAAGCAGCACCCACCAGCCCAGGGATTTGAGACTCTGCAACACGAAAAAGCCGCAGAGAACCACCTGCACAGACTTGCTGCCAGGCTTAGGCTGAAGAAAAGAACACTCATCACGGCACCAGGTGCCCTTCAGGAGCTTCAGAATGTTGTTTTAACAGCACAACCTCGCACCGATCTAAAGCCACGAATACCTCCTACTCCTCAGCTGCGCCTGCCCTGGATGTGCACAGAGCCAGAGGTCAACGTGGCTGTTGGGGAGCAGCGTGCTGGGGCTTTGCACTTTTGTGATAAATGTTATATCTGTGAAACACCATACGGGACTGTCCATCTCATTTCTATTCACCTCTCTGAAAACAGAACAGAGTGACTACAGCAAAGCCTCCTGCAACGTAGACAGTCACCCACCAGAAACTGGACAATCACCCATTTATCTTAGAAATCCACTAAAATCCCGTGTGAAACTAGCTCCTACCATTAAGAAGCAAATCCGAAAACAAGCCAGTCAGAACAAGGAGAAAAACTCTGAGAACTGTGCTGAGTTTTTCAAATTGCTTTTTCTCTCTTAGTTTAAAAATCCCAATTTATTTTTTTCAATAAACTGACAAGAAGGCAGCAACTCACACTCATGAAAGGTCTGAGCTGTTCTCTCCAATAAGAGATACTATATGAATTATTCCAATTACCCAGACAAAAATCAAGCTTCTCGCCAAGTCAAGATGTGCGCACAGCAGTTCTTAAAACATTGGTATTTCTTCATTCTGTTTCCCATAGACAAAGGTCTGTCCCACTCAGGAAGGGTTTGATTTTGAATAAACATTTTTAAGGTGAGAAGGCAACAGCAGCAGGACTGACTGACACCCCAACCAAAGGGAGGATGACACTGAGCCACAGTCGGCTGCCAGCTCCCCAGGAAATTGCAGTGTCGTTCTGGGACACACAGTATCACTGTTTAGATTAAAAATTAAACATTCATGAAACACTTATCGAGGTACCTTAAATTAACAGTTTCAAACCCTCAGTTCACCAGGAATCCAGGCATGTAAACTCTGTCCTTTCACGACAAACAGGTGTCCTATGCATCGCACCCAGACAACAGAAAATCCCCAGTTCGAGGTATTTCATGCAGAGCCCGTACACCTTCACCCTTCCCCTCTCCCACCACTCAGAGCGACTCCCTCTGTCCTGATACGGAAGAGACAACCCAGTGTGTGTCCCAGCATTTAGGGAAAAAAAGGCAATACCTTCTGAATATCACACTGAAATGACAGCCAGCCGGATGGCCCCTGCTGTGAGCGGCTGAGCACCAGCCAGTGATTCTGCCTGCAGCAGCACCTGAAAAACCACAAACTACAGCCACAGAGGTACGTCTCTGCACTCGCATCTCGTGTTTATGCTCACGTCTTCATACTAATTCTGCATTAATTCCAATCTCCAGTAGATGTACCTTGCTTGTTTTCACCATCCACGAACAGCGTAAGAGCACTCTGCTAACACCTGAGCCCACTCTCACAAAGCATCCACCTCTGTGGGAACAGAGCAAAACCTGCTCACAGCAGCCAGGAGACTTTAGCTCGTTTGAAGACACCGACACTTCCTTTAGCTGCGAAATGGACAAATACTCCCTTGACCAAACGACCATTGATTTTTAATGACCCTCCCCTTCCCTAGGCCAGGCACCCAGCTGCTCTCTCTTCTCACTACAGTACAAGCAGCTGAACACTCTCAGATGCTGCAGCAGAAGAGGCAATACCGGCCAAAGCACAGTGAACCCAAGCAGCTTCTACTCAGTTTCTCCCATCTGTCTCATGCAGTAACAAGGTATAACCACAATCTTCTAGTGACATTAAATGATGCAAAGTTATTGTTTTCCCCAAACGACATCAGCTGGTGTAAGAAAAAAGAGACCAGACAAGCTTCTGGGCATATATCCCAGACTTCAATTATTAAAAAGTCCTTCCTCAATGATAACAACATATAGTAACTATGCAAAATAGAACAAAATGAAAGCACCACCAACATTGAATAAATCATTATAATAACCCAGCTGACCACTCTCAGAGACGCAGAGTGGGACAATTTTAACTCTCAAGGTGGATGCAACAGTTCCCTGCACCCTACTCACTTGTCTTCACATCGAAAGGCAGCCCTGGAGTATCCTGTGCACTGAAGCAGACATTACCCGAAGCTTAGCTTCCTGCCAGCCACAAGGCAACACACTCCCAAACTGGAACTGCGGGTTCAACAAAAATCAGACTGCTCTCCAGACAATCCCGAAGAACCTCCACGACCAGCTCTGGCAGCAGCTCAGCTCCCAGCACCCAGAGCTCAGCTCCTCGCAGCGAAACACATACCACTCTAAAAAACAAAGTAAAGCCCACAACAGAAGCAAAGCACTTGCCTTTAGTTTGGGGGCTGTTGGAGTCTTCTATCGAAAGCTTCAGCTGCTGTATGAACTCACTGCCATACACGCTCCTTTCTTGCCAGATGTTAAGCAATCGTTCCAAGGGCTTTTTGCAGCCCTCATCTGCTTCTCTGTTCAAAGATTAGAAAATAATTATAGATCAGCTGAAAAGCATTCCTGATGTTTTAAGAGAGCATCTTGCAAACTAGCAGCTGCATCCACTGCAATATCTGCACATTGGGAGAGAATCTCATATTGTCTGAGACAAACTGTGCAAAACACACTTGTGGACAGTTTTCCCCTTTTATCGGAACCAAAGGCTGCCTGGAAGTGCACCCCATTCCCACCCCCACGGAAGGGCAGGAAAAGTTTACAAGGAAGAAACTTGCTATCATTCAGAATTTGCAAGAAAAGCTATAAAATTCCCCCAAGTCAACGTGATTAGTATTCAGAGTATCAACTTGAAACAGTTGTTGCAGTCAATAGCATCCCAATTAAAAAGCAGGTTGTTTGGCTCGTTAGGCACCTCAATGTACTCGCACAGCACACTGGGAGCGCGACAGCCATCCAGAGCAGTGCACCGCGCAACACACAGAGCACTAGGGTTGAGATAACAGGAATTATTGTGCTATTTACAGCAAATCTCAACTAAATGATAGCCCATTTTTGATAAGAAGGTAGCTGCATCACTCCTTCCTTCTTACGTGTAAAATTCTCCCTTCCTCTAGCAAGGAGACTAACGACGAGATAAGCATTAAAACAAGCAATACAAAAAGAAACCCAGCTCAAAGCAGAAGATTGATGAGAATCCGGTGATCCAAAATGCCAGGTCTGTAAAGTGTTCTGGCAGTGGGGAAGAGCCATTCATTCTGTGGCTGTAACAAACCCATGCAGCTATTCAGTCTCCCTACCCGTGAACAGGCCTGCACGACCTTTTGTCACCAACTAAAATACAGGACATACCAGCTGCATGTAGAGAACAAACGTGCAAAGCTGGGAGGGGCTGGTTCACGTACAAACAATTTTGCCCAAAGAGAAATATTAACACTAGACAGTTCCTGGACACAAAGCAGTCTCTACTAACGATGCGGTACAAGCACCCCTGAGACTTAAAAAACCCCAAAACCAAAATCCAACTGAATTCAACTTTGCATAACACGAATGCAAACATAGAGAAAAGCTGAAGAAACACATAACACACCAACATACCTGGCAACATGAGAAAAAGCATCCACAAGAACAGATTCAAACTCCCGAGTAAATTCGGGACCTTTCCTCTTACTGTTCTGGATGACATCGTTTGCTAAGTATAGGAAAGTAAGCTTCCTACTCGATTTTGCTGGGAAAGGGGAAAAAATAAAAGAAGGAAGAGAAGAAAAAAAACAAGAGAGAGAGAGAGAGAGAGTTTGTGTTTATTTCTCACTTCTTTCACCTGGAATCACTAACATGGTTTTCAAAGTTGCTTATAACTTTTCAGCCTAAAAAACAAAGTTCAAAATATTTCCAAGTTACCAAGGCAAACCGGAACCCTTCAAGTCAAGTAGTTCTTGATCTCCTTCCTTCTGCTCAGGTTTATTTCTAACTAAGTCACAAAACAAACATGAACTTAATAATTTCTGCACACAGTAACACCTCAACTCTGAAGAGTGCTGCGTAAGAAACAAACTCCAAACACACGATTAAAACGAGCTGTTCTACCCTACCAGCACATTAATACAACAATAGACTTATTCTTCATTAATTAACTTCAGGAAAAAAACTTGGTAAAGAACCACTTAATTCAGAGCAGAGGGAAACTAGGAGAAAGCTGCTGTGGAAACTCACATATTTCTCCAGACAATGCTCTGCCAAAGCAATGTTACATTTCTTCCATGTACCGTAACTTTTCCCATACAGACACCACCAGTTTCTGTGTCACTATGGCCAGGACAGGGGAGATGTGGTTCTGCACAACACCCTGGGCACGGACATGTGCACAAGGCAGAAAACAACAGCGCTCATTTCCATCCACAGCAGCCCAGACTCGGATCCTTCAAAAACCCATACTGAACGTACTGTACACGGCAGCTCTGGCAATCCCACGGAAAACACTCCAGCGGGGACTTCAGCAGCATCCTGCGCTGCAAGGGGCCGACGCTGCAGCTGCCCGGGGCAGGAGGGGTGACAACAGCGGGTCCCACAGCCGCCCCTGGGGACAGGGCACCACCACTGACACCGCCAGGCTCCCTGACTTCGTTAGGAGGCAACTGGGGAAGTCACCAGCACTTACAAAACTAAAACTAACCTGCAAGGAAAAAAAAGCACAAAATATTTCTGGCTGATCCTACCAGACCGTTTCTGTAGATCTCCACACACCTTTCCGTTTCCTCTCCTAACCCCTCAGTGCAGTTCTGTGGAGGATGAGCAGCACGAACCCAAGCTCAGAACCTGAACAACCAACAAAGCGCTTCACAGCCAGCCCGAGCCCGGCCGGAGAGGCTCTCGGTCCATCTCT